AAGTGGACTCAATTTGCACTATTTCTGGCAGTCTGCAATCCCCCTAATAGGGCCTTTGCAGACTGCTAGAAATAGTGCAAATTAAGTCCACTTCAAGGGTTAGGGTTAGTGCTAGGGAATCATGGGAATTGTTTTCTTTTTTTCCTGAGACACTGAGCCTTTTCTATCAGAAAGCTCTGGTGCCACAATAAAATACAGTTCTCATATTCCTAACCCTAACCCTTAAAGTGGACTCAATTTGCACTATTTCTAGCAGTCTGCATTCCATGTAAGATCCTGCAGAAGAGGAACCGGTTGCATTTCTGGGATGCTCAACCCTTTGCAAAGGAGCTTTGCAGGGAAGAGTTAACAGAGGCGGAGAAGGCTGCAAAGGCTCCATCCACTTCCTGCCCTCCCTTCGCTTGTCCCATTTCCTCCCAGAAACAGGAACTAGGAGGAGTGGTCCTGGGTGATCTCTTGCTTGCTTGCTTGCAAACTGGGCTTGGGGCGCAACAGGCTGCAAGAAGGAGGACAACAACCACCACCACCTGTTTACTTACCTGGGCACCTGGGAGGCTGGAAAGCTCGCCTCTTTGTTTGCCTTCTTGGCTGGAAAGGAGCCAGATCTGGGCTGCATCAGGAGAGGAGGACGTGTCAGTAGGGAGGCTGGGCTGCCTCGTTTGCTCTGGCTCTTTATTGCGGGATTAATCCGGATTGAATTATTCAGGATCGTGGGTTTTGGTTTTTGTTTTCCATCTTTGCATCGCCAAGATTTGCAATGCCCGTCGTCGATAAACTTCGCCTGGAAGAGGCTTTGCAAGACAGCCCCCAGGTAGGTCCTGGGTTCAGGATGGAGGAGAAGGAAGGCATTTGGATCCCTATTGGGATTGGGGTTTTTTTTTTCAGTCCTAGCAAACCACAAAACACACAACAGGAAGGTTTCATATAGAAAACACACACACAAAAAGCTAGGGAGAGACTCACACTATAATACCACTCTATTACAACAGTGTCTCAAAGGAATGAAAGCACAACTCAGTGACCATATTGCTATGTCGAAGCACATTGCAGCAACACTACAAAACACAGCATCCATAATATAAAGTACTGTTGTTGTTGTTGTTGTTGTTGTATGCCTTCATGTTATGGCGACCATATCATGGGGTTCTCTTGGCAAGATTTCTTCAGGGGGAGGGGTTTGCCATGGCTGAGAGAGTGTGACTTGGCCAAGGTCACCCAATGGGTTTCCATGGCGGAGCAGGGATTTGAAACCCTGGTCTTCAGAATCATAGTCCAACACTCAAACCTCTACACCACGCTGTCCTCCACAAAGTCCAGTAGAAAACTATATATTCCAGTTAACTTTTTTGTTGTTAACTGCCCTCGAGTCGATATCAGCTCATGGCGACCCTATGGATGAGACATTTCCAAGACCCTCTGTCCTCCACTGCTCTGCTTAAAACCTGCGTCTTCATATAGCTCTTCATTCCATGTGTCCTTCATTTTTATTCCTTCCTGATATTGAATTATGTTATTTTTATTGTCATAGATCCTCCCAGTCCTTGCTTTGAATTTTCCTTTGATTTCCTGGATCTTGTGAAATAGATCTCTTGTTCTTCCCTTTTTGTTGTTGCCTTCTATTTCTCTGCATTAGTAGTTGTAGTAATATTCTTTACTTATAGATGGAATAAAGCATACTAAGGACAATTGATATGAATCCACAACACTGAAGGTGTTTAAGCAACAACACTGAAGGAAAAACCCTATACCATTCTTGTGAACATTATATCCTGGCGATAAGGAACTTGGAAATATGTAGCAATGTGGTTATATATATAACAGTATGGTCCTTGTTGATCATTGTTTGGTACATTGTTGTAATAGAGTGTTATTACAGTATATTCTTAATTTCTCCCTAGCTATTTTTTGTGCAGTCCTCACAAACTCAAGGTGATCAGGGGCCCTCACTGGCAAGGACGACAAGGCACTGTAATATGGAGGACCTAACTAAAAGAAAATTAAAATTAAAAACACTCATAGAAATGCATGCTTCTTAGTCTTGCTCAAAATGGAGATTGTTTTGGAATTCCTCCAGGACAGGGAGGCTGAAGTTAGGACAGGTCCTGGAAAAGGAGGATGTGTCTGATCACCCTGGTACAAACGACATGCCAATGCAAGAGCTTGTTAGCAAGATCGAGGAAGGAGAGTGGTGGTGGATGGGGAGACTTTCAGGGAAGGAGTCTTGCCAGTGATCCAGAATAAGGCATTGTTTGAGCCAGCAAACAGGTGTCACTTTGTGTGTTGTTTAATCTTTCCGGTGTGGGTCCGGTTTATGGTTTATGGCTGCAGCATAGTAAACCTGATGTGGCTATTGCTTGAAAACAGGTGAAGGCGGTGCTGTTGTTGTTATGTGCCTTCAAGTCGTTTCAGACTTATAGCGATCCTATATTATTATTATTATTATTATTTCAGAACTAATAATAAAAATTACAAATGGTATTCTAGAGCCCTGGCTTAGGTTTGCTCTGTAGGCCATCCAGGACTCAAAATGGAAAGGTAGCCATAATCATAGAATCATAGAGTTGGAAGAGACCACAAGGGCCATCCAGTCCAACCCCCTGCCATGCAGGAACTCAAAATCAAAGCAGCCCTGACAGATGGCCTTCAGGATTCAATCATTCATTGGGAGGTCTTTCTTCAAAATGATCCTTGTGGCAAACCTGTGGGGTGATATTAGGAAGCCACAACATGAAGGTTATAAAGTAATAGATTTTGAATTAATTGGTGGTTTTCATCGGGGGGGGGGAATAGCAGGAGAGGGTTATGTGTTGCTGCTATGTGAGATGAAGAAGGAAACCATCCTTATGAACCTAGATCGAATATATAAAAAGAGACTCTGGCCCTTCAGAGGGAATAAAAATCCTGATGACAGAACAATAATTTGCATTCTGTCCATCTAATGCAAAGGTAGGCAACCTAAGGCCTGGGGGCCGGATGCGGCCCACTGAGGCCTTTGGACCGGCCCCAGGCCAGTCCTGCCACCGCCACCCGCCATGATGATATTGATTATTGTTATTATTACTTGTTCTTGGGGTTTTCTTGGCAAAATCTCCACAGGGGTTTTGCCATGGCTTTTCTGGGGTTGAGAGAGTGTGCATGCATAGATATTTTTTTTATTTTTTTAATATTATTATATTTATATTTATTTATTTATTTATTTATTTATTTATTTATGGTGCTTCGGCCCCCCAATTGTCTAAGGCCCCCAGCTTAAAAAGGTTGCCTACCCTTGATCTAATGCAATGGTGATATCACACAGTACTGCTGTTCAAAACATAGTATTATTCTTCCCATTTTGCAGGTTTGAGTGTTAGGAGAGCATGGAAGGATTAGAGCAATGGTTCCTTTGCAAAATACCTCGAAATTATTGGTGAGGTTGGAGGGAGGAGGCAGGGAATAGCTTTATTCCTCATCAGTGTGAGAGGCTGCTCTGTGACAAATCTAGGTCACCTTTAGCAGGAGGTGCACTCCTTGAAATTCAGGGAAAGGTACAGAAAGGAAAGACAGACAGGTTGTGTTTGCTTTTTTTAGAATTCTTTCCTATGGATGTCTAACTTCCTGATAGTGTTTTGGACCAGGGAGAATGGGTTGCTTTGACACCTCAAGACTAACAGGCGAGCTGCTTAATAAACTTGTACCACCTTACACAACCCTTTGAAGCTTTATGACTGGTGTCACAGCTTGCATCTTTCTCAGCCCCATTTCGTTCTGATCCCACTTCTCCAGTTACATAACTGTGCTTAAACACCTGTGTCTTGAATATTGTCTTCCATCCATGCCTCTGAAGAAGTGGATTGAAATCCAGGGAAATGCATGCTATAAATACATTGGCGAGTCTTTAAAATCCCACTAGATTTTTCTCCCCATGCCAATCATTTTTTTTTTT